ATAATTTATCAGTATTTGCAAAGTAAGTAATATGTGCCTAAAAAAAGAAATATGGTAATAACAGTAAAAGAATCAAAGGGACCAAAAATTTAATATGAATATCAATAACCTTAAAGGTAGTGGGGATAATAATCCAACTGAAACCCAGGCTAGAAAGCATCAGGCGAGCCGGTACGATCATTCGTTTTTGTAGTATTTCATGCTGTAGCAAGATTGCAAGGAATCCCAGTAGCTAGAATTTGTGACGTACTGGTCTCCGAAGTTCAGGAATTTAATTGTGCAGTTATGTGGTGTGTCAGTTGTCGATATCGGCTTCAGTGACCCGATAAATGGAAAGTCCCTGGTGCGCGAAAAAGCTCCCACGAGAACTGAATTTGAAAATTTTTAGTCGCATATCAATGGGGACATTCCGTTGAAATTCCAGCTTTCTAGCTTTTTTCTTTCCCGAGTTAGCAGGTTTCCTACCAAAGATTTCACATATCTCTTCATGAGATCCAGACGATCCTAAGGGGCTGAACTTTAAGTCTGCTGTGGATAGGGGACATTTCTTTAAAATTTCAGGCTTCTAGCTTTCTTCGTCCCCGAGTTAGCAAATTTCCGCTGAAAAATCCACGTGTTCGTACGTGAGACCCGGACGGTTCTAAGGAGCTGGACTTGAAACTCTTCAGCTGTACATGAGTAGGAAACATCCCTTTTCAATCCCAGTTTTCTAGTCCTTTTTTCCGAGTTAGCATTTTTCCCACCTAAATTTTTACGTTTCCCGAGCGGTTCTAAGCAGTTGGATTTGAAATCTTTTAAGTATACGTGGTTAGGGAACATCTTCTTAAAGTTTCAGCTTTCCAGCTTTTCTCGTTCCCAACTTGGCAATTTTCCCGCCAAAACTTTCTCGTGTCCGCACGTGAGACGTAGACGTGCTTTACAGCTGGTATCACGTTGCTGGGATCACACTTGGTCAGGGAACACACTGGCAAAGTTTCAGCATCAAAGCTTGCATAATTGACGAGTAGAAAT